ACACTGCAAGTGACACAACACTGCAACTGACACAACACTGCAAGTGACACGACACTGCAAGTGACACGACACTGCAAGTGACATAACACAAACAACAAGTGGCAACTGACACGACACTGCGAGCCACTTGCTCCATGGGCTCGAGTCGGAGTTTCTCCAGTCGGTCGTCGAGTATGAAGCTGTGGACGCGCTGCTCCATCTGGCGCCGGAACTTGCTCAGCTCCTCCCGCTCCTTGCTCCTGGCCTCGTCCAGCACCTTCTGCTGCTCTGCTCCATGCAAACATTGCACAATTAATACATGAATGTTATCCAGTTATGGAGTCACAACAGTAATAGAATTGTAGAAGACTTTAAATCAAGTTATAGCTGATGAATATATATTGAGCAACATTAAAGTAAAGTACATGGTGAAGTTATTAAAGTTATAACATTAAAGTTATATTATATACAGTATATGAATATAAATTCCAACTGTTCTACCTATCTTCCAAGGTAGATCAGCAAAGCACAATTGGATTTTAGGGATAACTACAAATGTTGCATCAAGATATTTAAATAAAAAATTTTCTCAGCAAAAAAACATTCTTGCAACATATAAATTCATATAATTCAATACACAGCAAAAACTCATTAATAAAAAGAATACTTAGGGCCTGCATATAAGTATTATAATATATTATATGAATATATTATATTGAGAAATATATTATATTGAGCAACATTAAAGTGAAGTACATGGTGAACAAGTTATATTATATACAATGGTATATGAATATAACTACAAATGTTGCATCTAGATATTTAAATAAAAAAATTTCTCAAAAAAACATTCTTATAACAAATAAATTCATATAATTTAATACACAGCAAAAACTCATTAATACAAAGAATACTAGAAACCTGCATACCTTGCATGAGCTTATATGAATATAACTACAAAAGTTGCATCTAGATATTTAAATAAAAAAAATGTTCTCAAAAAAACATTCTTGCCACACATAGATTCATAGAATTCAATACACAGATAAAACTTGTTAACACAAATTAGGTATACTCGGAGCCTGCACACCTCGCATGAGCTTCTTCTGTTTGTCGTCAATGGACGGTGGCTTGGCCATCTTGCTCATGATGGAGTCTAGTAAATCCATGGTGGCTCAACCAATATCTGGAATTAAACACACATCATTAGATGATGAAACAACATTGGGTACCAGCACCAACCTACATTATTTAATGACAAATTTTTCTAAAAACAACCTATCATTTATAGTTAAAAATAAGCTTCATAAAACTAATTTTTAGTCAACATCAGTAAAATAATTTCTCCAAACCTTTGTTGGACACTACATGACATTTCAGTCACTATGTGCCTAGGGTGTGATGAAGGAGGCTGCATCTCAGTCACTACTGTCAAACGGGGTAATAAGGGACGGGTGGGGTAAATCAGGACACGTGTCCCACATTTTGTAGAAATGTTGTAGCAGCTAAACTAATTAAAATATTGAAAAACTAAAAATAGTGGCGTAAACTTCAACATTTTTACTATCTAGTTAAGCTAGTTAAGAAATCATACATTTACTATCTCTAAAAATTGCTGAAAAAAGTGTGAAAAGTGTGATTTTGGAAAAGTACTTCTACTAAGGTCAGGAGCAAAAAAATATTAGCCATATAAAAAAAATTTACTTACATAAAAGTTGCACACAGGTGTCGGCTTGAAAACGCAATTGACATAATTTGCCAATCTCATTCCCAAAACAAATGGCAGCCAATTCCACGCAACGGGGTAATAAGGGACACCCTTAAAAACGCATTTACAGTAGAACCTCAGTTAGCAAAGGCTCCAGTTAACAAAAAAATTGATTAACAACAAAGAATTTTGATTACATTTACCTCGCTCAGCGAAAAAAATTTCACTTATAAAAAAATTAGTGCATCATTGGTCATCACAAAATTGTGCATAGAATGAAAAGTAATTAACCTAAACTATGATTTATTTCTTCAAAACATATGATGGCTATCACAAACATTCCTTTCTGTTTCAGGTATGTTTTTTTACGATCTTTTTTATAGTGAATTAACTTAACCCAATTAAAATGGTGTGAAATTAAAAGCCATCCTGTAAGCTTACAGATACAGAAGAAATGCTATAGGGCTGCTGATATGAAGCTTGCAGTGGACAAGGTTGTTGTCAATGCTCAATGACATGTTCATGGATACGGTAATATCACATCAATAATATGGTAAGTAATGAACATGGTAATATCATATCAATAAAGGAAAAACAAGTAAAAATCACAGAAAATGTCATTTGTTCTACATCTACATCATCTACAATGAAAGAGGAGGACTTCACAGTACTGTTAGTAATGGATGATTACACTCTGCATGCTTCAAACATTTTAAATTTGAGTTTTATTTCAAGTGTCCCGGATTACCCCATTCCCAGAGGTAATTCGGGACGCTTTTATTCTGCGTCCAGCGTCTCACGTATAGCATATGGAATTTTTTTGGAGATGCCATTTGATAGCAGTAGTTACATAACCGAGCGCATGGCGCCATTTTCCATAAACAGCTTAAATCATAGGTTACCCCAATCTTACCCTCGAATATTACCAACAAAATTACCCAATTACTCCTGAATAAAACCTCCTTCAATATTATTACCAACCATTTACCCCAAATCTTATCCAACAAAATTACCAATTACCTTCAATATTATTACGAACAATTACCCCGAATCTGCATAAACAGCTTAACAGGATCATTCACCACGAATCTTGCCCAACAAAATTAACCAATTACTCCCGAATCATGAGTTAACGATCATTTACCCCGATTGAGTCATTCGAGTCATTTACCAGGCTGGAGTCAATTGAGTCAAACCAGCTTGAAACCTTGAGTCAGTTTTTTTTCATGGTGCACATCGGCTGGTAGCTAAAGGCGCACTTAAATTATCCTCTACAAAAACTCGCTCCAGATCCAGGACCGGTC